CAGTCAATTTCAGAACATTTTCACTACCCTAAAACTTTTCAGGATTTAATTTTTAACAAATAGAGACGAGGTCTTGCTATACTGCCTAGGTTGGTCTTGAACTCCTGGCCTCAAGTAAGTCTCCTGCCTCGGGCTCCCAAAGTGCTCAGAGGACACTCATGAATCACTATGCCTGGCCCATCACCCTAAAGAAACCCACTAGCCTACCCACACTCCAGGCATAGGCAATATTAATCTATTTTCTGTCTCTATGGATTCGCCTATTCTGAACATTTCATATAAATGGAGTCACATGATATGTGGCCAATTGTGTCTGGCTTCTTTCACTCGGCATCATTGTCAAGGTTCATCCGTGGTATAGCATGTGTTAGCGCTTAATTCCTTTTTATGGCCAAATAATACTCCACTGGATGGATAGACCCTAACTTTTTTGTCCATTTATCCATTGATGGGCACTTGAGTTGTTCCCACCTTTTAGCTCTTGTGAATAGCCCTGCTGTGAACATTCACCGACATGTGTTGTGTGGACATGTTTTCCGTTTCCTTGGGTAGACACCTAGGAGTGGAATTGCTGGGTCAGGCAGTCACTCTGTGTTTAATCGTTTGAGGAATTGCCAGGCTGTTCTCTAAAGTGGCTGCCCCATTTCTGCTGCAGCATATGAGAGTTCAGATTTCTCTACGTTCTCGTCAACATCTGTTATTGTCCTGAAGTTAATTTGCTTCTGTCCACCCCAACTATCAGTTGGGTGACAAATTTAAAAAGGTTTGCTGGCTGGACACAGTGGCTCATGCTGGTAATCCCAGCACCTTGGTAGACCAAGGCGAGAGGATTGCCTGAGCCCGGGGTTTGAGATCAGTCTGGACAACTTGGTGAGACCTCGTCTCTACGGTAAACCAAAAAATTAGCTGGGCATGGTGGTGCGTGCCTGTGGTTCCAGCTACTTGGAAGGTTGAGGCGAAAGGATCACCTGAGCCCAGCAAGTTGAGGCTATGGTGGTCATGAGCATGCCACTGCACTCCAGTCTGGGCAACAGAGTGAGATTTCGGCTCAAAAAAAATTTTTTTAAATTTAATTACATTTAAAAAGCTCCAAGGGACCCTCTGTTACTCCCCAGACAGGGTCCGCCTCCCCTGCTGTGTAGTGCTTGGCTGTGCATTGCTAAGTCCTGGCACGCAATGACTCCACTCGTGTCCGCTTTCCTTGCACCCCTGCGCCTCCCAGAAGGGCAGGGAACGCGTCCGACTTGTTTCCTGCTGCGCCCCCAATTTCTGGCACAAGGCCTGGCTAATCACGTAGAGGGTGCTTGATAAATGTTTGCTGAGAGAATACATGAGTACACAGTAAGCTGGGGACGGAGTTGGGACTGCAGCCCCGCTCATGCCGCTCTCTAGGACTCAATCATTCTGCCCACATCATTTCCAAAGACCCAGGCAGCGGACCCCGGGTCCGGGCTACCCGCGTCCACCCTCTGCCTCCTCTGGGGGCAGGCTTCTCCTGCGCCTCCAGGCTGGCCCCACCAGGACTACATTTCCCACAAGCCTCAGGGCCGGGACTACACCTCCCATGAGCCCCCGCTTCCGCCAGGTTCTGTGCCCTTCAGCCACGGGGGCCGCTAATCGCCTCCTTTCTCGCTCGGCGGCCCCGGACCCCGTTGCCCCCGTCCTGCAGCCAGGGCCGAGCACCCCTCCCCGCTGCGATGGGCCCGCCCCGGCTTCTCCAAGACACCCCGAGAGGCGGCCCCCCCTCCCCC